GGGGGGGGGGGGGGGGGCGGAGAGACAAGAGAGAAAGGCGAAACTCATATGATACCACCGTGTACTCCGAGCGTTTCGTGCGTGCGAGAGAGTACGTTGTTCAAGCTAACGTGACGTCAACCTACAGTTTGATCGTGCAGCGGACGTGCATGCGGATGATGACGGATGGTGGAGGAAACTTGAGGACGTTGGATGGTGGCCAGCCCCCCCCCCCCCCCCCCCCGGAATCTATACCGCCGCCATTGTTGTGTGATGTTGTATGCTGAAGAGTGTCGTCGGTATTGCCGAGGTCCCTTGATAACCGTCTCTCTTTCACCCTGCCTGCCTGCCTTCCGCTTGTATCTCGTACGGCGTCTTTTCGGCGACTGCTTTCTTTGGGATGTATTGGGGGGCGCGGCCGGGCGGGGGCGGCAGTTGTGCACGTGAAGGGCATCTTGAGATGCGTGCTGGTGACGGAGACCTCGGAGACGTTTCAGACGGCGGAGATTGACCAGCTGGGGTTGCTGGCCAACTTGCAGGCCCTTGTTGGCATCTCCACAGACATAAGTGAGCGGTTGTTTTGCCGCCAGGGTGCTCTGTGAAGCGTACATAGGCGGTTGTGTGTGGGGAGCACCGAACAGCATACACAGGTGTTGCCGTTGTATGGTCCAGTACCCCCGCCTTTGTCGTTGGCATGGAAGAAGAGGAATCCAACATCAGACCGCTTGGATTAGGTGGTGCTTCCGACGACCGATCACCGTAATCCCACGCCCGATGACTGCAAAGCGTCCTGTCCCGCTCTAAAACTGACGTATTTTCATTGGTTGGCCGGATTGTGAGATCGATCCTGACAAAACATACACACACGTTGGTTTCAACCGCACTGAGACTAACGTTCATCGGTCAGCCGGCTAGCGTGGTCGATGCTAGTAACAAAGACACACAAACATGTGTTGGAGTCTTCTCCTTTTGCAATTTCTTCGAGTCCGGAGACTGGACCCTCCCTTACAACGTCCTCCGCGTGCCCCCTGCGGGGGGAGCCCGATGACTGGTATGCGTGTTCACCTTTTTTTATTCCGCTGTAAAACTGACCCCTTTTTTTATTGGTCCTTCGGATATTGCGCTCGATTTTGTCAAAGTAGAAACGCAACACACGATGGCCCCACGAAGCTTTTCCCGTTTTCAGCCGCACTGAGGTTAGCTTCCTTTCATTGGTCAGCACTTTTTAGCGCGGCCGACGCAAATATTTATGACACACACACACATTTGCACGCACGGGTCTTTCACTGATTTTGCGGTGCTTTGGAGAGAACATGTGAGAAATCACGACCTTGTCTCACCCCGCACAAGGACTGAAATTGAAATGATGCGCTTTGGGGAAAAATCGATCTACGGGCACGCAGAAGACATGTAGTCGACACTTGGGTGTATTATTATTGTCTTTCCTGTGGCTTGTCCTAACCTTCGTCTTTTTTCCTCTCAAGAGAGCTCTCATTTCGAGTGTCGTTCTTCGCTCACGTGTCCCAATCCTACCCACCCCCCCTCCCT